CTCTCTCTCTCTCTCTCTCTCTCTCTCTCTCTCTCTCTCTCTCTCTCTCTTCTCTCTCTTCTCTCTCTTTATTTTTTTTACATACTTCACGTTTTCTCCCTCTTTTACGCTCGTTCATATCTACATTTATGTATCTGTCTATGTCTCTACTTTACATCTTCCCTTTTCTATCTGCCTGTATGCGCCTACCTTTACTTTCTCGTTTCTTCATGTACGCACATTTAAAATCTACTTTCCATCATATAATTTATTGACTTGTGCACCGCCTCCATTTCATTTCTGTCTGTTATATCTATCAACTCACACGTGTAACTTCTCCCTGTCTCGCCTTGCTTGCGTACCGCTTTATAAAACGCTCCGCCGCGTCGCATCTTTCTTTCTCTCGCGTCTTCGGCGGCATTTTCCATTCGCGAACGGGGAAAAAAATATCTCTCGCGATCCAAATCTCTTAAAAAAAAACAAAAAAAATCAATACGTGTCTACGCGATCGCGCGGATCCTCAGGTCCGCCCTCAGCGATCCTCGCGATGCGACTGTCGCACCCGTTACACGGTAGCCTGCTGCCACCAGGAATCTGCTACACGTGCGACGTGTGCGGCAAGACTCTCTCCACGAAGCTCACCCTAAAGCGGCACAAAGAGCAGCAGCACTTTCAGCCCCTGAACAGCGCGGTCTGCGCGCTCTGCCACAAGGTGTTCAGGACGCTCAACAGCCTGAACAATCACAAGAGCATCTACCACCGTAGGCAGAAATAGAAGTGATTGCGCACGCGCGTGTCTTACGTGCCAAGAGACATGACGAAACGAGCTTAATAGACGCTTAAAAAAGGGAAAGGTTGCGCGCTGTTCGCGAACGGCCGCGCGATCGACCAGGTCGGCGACCAGCGGCGTGGCCATCCGGAGAGAATCGCGTCGTTCTCTTCTCGAATTCTTGCTGTCTAGCCAAAAACAAGAGGCAAAGAAAGAAAAAGAAGGAAAACTACGTCGAATGTAACGTACGGAAAGACGTGTGATTTCAGCCCGTTGCTCGATTCATCGATTCACAATCATTGACCGCGCGTATTTAACGCTAGATGCGTACAGCCGTCTGATTTTGCTTGCTTAGCGTATCAAGCGACGTGTACCTTTGAGAGTATTTATTGTCGGCGTCGCTCACGGTTTCGAATGTATTTCGCTATGATACTTTCTCGGCCACGATTGTTAGAACGTCGGAACCGGGCTGGGTACACAATCAGGAAAATAATTCGCGGGGCAATTTGCCAATCCGGGCTTTTAAGGGGTTAACGCGAGGCCACGTGTAAAGCCGATGCGAGATGAGAATCAGACGGACACTCTTAGCGATAAATATACGGTGAAAAATTGATACGGACCTTTGACCGGTAACGGACCGCCGACGTTTTGTACGAGACTTGATACGCAATTGTTACGTTATTATCGCCTGTCGATTGTACATCGGTCATAATGGGTTTGACATTTGGGACCATGGGGTGTGGGATTCTTTTAGCCACTCGATCATGCGAGGAAGATGCGATTATCGGAAACAACTCGGTCACTTTTCGAGAGACAATAGGGATTGCGTTGAATGTCGCCATTGTGTTCGCGGTGTCCTTAAAAATCTTCCTCCCGTGTCTCAGCCGCACGGCAACAATTTTTGTAAAAAGTAGGAAACGTCGGCCCGCGAGAAATCAGTGCTTCCAGATGTGAGTGTACGTGGTGAATATCGTTGTCATGCGCGCGAGCTGGGGAATCGGTAGAGAAATCTGGATCGCGCCGTTATTTTATACACATGTATGTATATATTCTCATTTTTTTATTTCATATAATTGGATATTATGACGAGACGGTGATATTAACGTTGATGTCGCGCTCCCGAACCTTCACGCGAGTTTTAGAATCTAATTAGTTGACAAAGTTGTGATGAAAAAGAATGAGACTGAACTGGGGGTGCAATCAAGATGATTGAAATTAGGGTTGGTTTCCCGAGTTGATTCTCGAGTTGATTCTAATCAACGCGTAATCCTCGAGGCGTGTATTGTTAGCAAATCGTTTATTCGCACCTATCGCACATAAATCACGAGAGCGATTACTTAGATTTTGCACGTAAGTTTCGCACACACATACACACATACGCGTAAACACACACCCAGCCACGCACACACACACACATACACGCTGGCGTTATGGTTTACGGGACCCAGTGCCAATGGATTAACATAGAGAAAAGTAATCTTAATTTTATAATTACTTGTACTTATTTTTCTAGCGTACGCTTCTCGTATGTTCTTCTCTTACGTTTCTTTTTAAATGTCTATTAATACCGCAGGAAATATATAAAATGATCGGTCGCACGACAGGTCGTACAATAGACTGGATGCACGCGAATACCGATTATCATTTCGGAGATTGACATCGGTGTATAATCTCGTTGAGTACAATTTCCGACGCTGCAGATACAGCGATTATCGTCATTTTCTTTCGCGAATAGAGCACGCTCTGCGAGACATAGAGATCCGTACCCGCCGTGATTATAGGCTGCTTCGGTCCCGGAATCGTTATAGTTTTGGGATTTAATTGTAGACGCACTTTGGCTAAAGCTTCGGCATTGTTTCGCGATACGGCACGAGGTGAACCATTGTCGAAACCGTGTCAAGAGCGCTTCTTGGCTATGAAACGCGAATTAATTTAAGCTTTATTAGTTAGAATCGATATAACGCGAGAAATGGGATATGCTATTCGAGGAAGGCTTTTAGGAAGTGTCGAAGACACGATCGTCCAGCTAAGTATAGGTAGAAGCGTCCAAAAATAAATTTCGATAAGACTGCAAGCGAGAGCCCCGGGATAGGCGCAGCATTCGAGAGTTTAATCGTATCGATACTAAATATTGCCCGATTTACATGGTTCCGATGATTCGAGGAGAACGCGATATGGTTTCCCGAGGCAGAGGAGGGTAATCGAGTTAGCCTAAATCTGCGAGAAATATTCTTATATCGTCATTTTTCGTCGTCGCTGGAATCGGGAAAAGTGAGATGCAATGGTTTAATATATATTCACAACGCACACACATATATTATATATATATATACACACGCATATAATTTACCCTAATATATTCATTCCATATTAAATGCTTTAGCGGGCTATCCTATATAGACTTACATTCGTTTTCACGAATACCTTACGAATTTTACATAAAGTACCTTACTTTGTTATTTACTATTAATTATTATTACCCATATTGTATATTGCAATTATTATCATTATTAGTATTGCTGTTAATATTGTTATTAATATTATTACTGGTATTACTACAATTATTATTCTTGCTCTTATTCTACCGTTGTGTTACGGCTGTTTTTCCGTCTCACGGCACACTCGAGGGGAGCACCGCTTTATAATATATTCCATGGACACGGATTACTCCACTTTCGCGGTATCTCCGGCCGAGATGTCTCACTCTACACGTTCCTTCTCGTCCATTTCGCGTTTCTACGGCGGCTTCGGCGTGTCCTTCATCGACCGAATCTCTCCGAACGGTCGCGACGCGCGGTTTCTTTTTCCTCCCATGGCTTTTTAATGGTAATGCGACTCTGTCGGTTCGAGGGCAAATGGACGGGAGGACGACGAGAGGTAGGGCGTTTGCTGTTAATGCCAAAATAATACAAACGTTCGAGGACGTGTCCGAGGAAGTTTTGACAAATTCCCGAGGTCTTTCGGGCGCTCACGCGTTACGCCCCGGAACCGATAGATCGCTCGCATTCTAAATGACTTGCAGATAGGCGGCCGTATACACGTACACACTTGTCACCGCACATAACTGTGGACCGCTATATTTTAGTAGAACCTCGACGATTCACGCTCGGTGAGGAGGAAGCCTGTGTGATGACTGGGACATGACCGTTTTGTGTCACGGCTACCGCGATAGACCGCTGGTAGACAGGAGCCGACGAGTGCACGGCGCATCGGCCTAAAGGCACGATCGTTGCGCGGTTCGGTTAGTTAACGAGAGATAATCTTCTATTTTTCTTGATCAAGGTGCGCGAGTTGGGACACGATGAGAGAGAGACACAATTGCGGGCGGATGCGAGTCCACCAGTAAATGCTGTACGCGCGAGACCAGGGGTGACGCGCTCGGCGAACGCGTTTACGTTGTCCGATACCGATCGCGGCATACGGAGTCACCTCGGCGAAATTGTGTGCGACGAGGTCGATACTACGCTGGAATACGGAGTGCGTCTCGCGGACGGTCGTTGAAATGGGTCGAGTTGCATTTAAGGCGAGACTTTCTTGAACCGGTGTACACAGTTAAAGCGAAGTTGACTTACAACAGCGAGGCGTGACTGGCGCCCGTGTTATTTCCGTTAATGAAATAGGTTCCCTGATACGCATTCGAAATACAGAACGGAAGTCGGATAGGGCTGGAAATCGATAGGATGCCGAATCACGTTGGCGGAAGCGTAACCGCGGAGTGTATCGGACGTGTGACCCGCGCGTGGGATGCTGTAATAAATTTAGATCGCGACCAGAGGAGGCGACCGGGAGCGAGAGACCGCATTGAAGGGCCGGGCCGTGGCGACAGGACCGAAGGGCCTGTGCGAACCGTAGCCGCGGGGTCGCAATAAGACTCGAGTACGCGACAGAACCGTCAAGGTTCACTCGCGCGATCGTAGCCGTGGACGCGGGCCTTATCGCGTTCCCCGCGAGTATACGTTTAGCGTATACTTACCGCGAGGTAAAGAATTTCTTACTTTGCATCGTTTCCTCCACCGAGGCTTCTGACTCGTCGCGGCACGACTGCGAGGAGAAACGATAGTTTTCTCGATGGCGCGTGTCGCGTCCTCTGCCGATTCGTGTCCCACGCCCTCGCGGGTTTACCTCTCGAGTTCTCGCGCACCGATCGCACGCAACGAATCGTAACTCGACAGTGAATCGACCGGAAAGAAACGGCGCGCGCGGACAGGTGCGCGCTCGTACTACACACACGCACACACGCACACGCATACACATATATATATTTTTTTCCTAAAAAAGTGCACAAATCCCATGATGTATACGCGCCAATTCCCGGGTGACGTACTGACGTTCGCGCGTGCACGAACTCGCATATCGGTGTGTTCGCGCTACACGGCTCGTATAGGCAATCTCGGACGCAGGTGTACGCGCACGTTGAATGCATTTATAGATAGGCTATGATAATTTATGTTAAACTATGTTTTATGGAATGCATCTCGTTGCGTCACACGTATTTTCCGCCTCTCGCATTACAATCCGGATTAATAAAGTGTATATCTTTCCGAGCGCATTCAAAATGAACGTATTTTAGGATCGATTAGTCAATTGTTACACGGTAAATATCGATATATAAATGCGCAGAAAGTATTGACTTGTCGATTAAAACCTTCCGCGAGTCGGGGAAAAGGGAGGGCGAAAATAATCGATTGTGCGAATTATTATTATTATTCTCAAACTAATCGTAGGTCTTTCGTATTGACGACGGGTGGGAGGGGGGGGGGGGCTAGATTTTTTTAATACCCGGGGCAATAACCGTGTACATATGCGACAACTTTTTAGAAACGTCAAAGAGCCGTCTTTTGTAGCCGGTAACATTTCGACGGGCATGCGAAATTATGTGCGACGCGAAATGCATTAGTGCAGATAATTTAAATAAGGCGATTGCGCGCTGAGAGGTGAAACGAGAGCAAAAAGATTGTTGATTCGAGGGAACGGTGAGGACGAGGAAGAAGAACGAAGCTTTAAATTACGCGAATAACGAACACAATTTTATAGTGGTCAGGACAAGAAAGGACTGATATTGATAATATTTAAATTAGTAGAATTATTCGAAGAAACGAATTTGTGACTATACTG